GAAAGGGAGAGGGATGGGGTGAGATTGGACAAGGGGCATGAAGAATAAGTATGATTTGTAACAATATATATGCTAGTAATATTGATTTGATTAACATATCTCAACGTTGAACCCCAAAATATGTATAATCAATTTTGATTCAATAAAAATTTAAAAAAGCAAACAAAAACCAGAAAAGTATAGCCCATAGAAGTGCCCAAACTCTAGGACAAGCATTAGCAAGTCCTCTCTAGTAGTATACTAAAGGAATGAACATGGCTGGTATGGGTTCACTGTGGGCATGCAGGAGGGGTCCACGTTAAGACAGCACAGGAGCAGGAAGCAGAATCAACACCAGGGCCTGGATTTTAGCTCTAAAGGCTTTGGATGAGAATCTCACATCTATTGTTGCCTTTCAGAAAAACTGTCAGTAAATCTAAAAAAAGAAATGGATACTCCTTTACAGTGAAGAAGAAAAGTCAGAAGCAGATATTTATTTTTGGTGGCTGGTTAGTACAGGGAACTGAACCCTTGACCTTGGTATTGCAAGGCCACTCTAGCCAACTGAGCTAACTGGCCAGCCTCCTCAGAAGCAGATATTTAATAGGGAAGAATTGGAGGTGTTTGCATTAAGTCAAGAATCAGGGCTGCCTGGACACTCCCATTGCCGATATCTGCAACAGCTAGAACAACTGGAGCTTCAGGCAGTGCACGTGCTGGACGAATGGGGAAGAAGGAGGGTACATATGGGAGAAGGAGTAATAAAAAGATATTTTAAGTTTATAATATGAATTATATATGGTTATATATAATATACCTAGAAAATATGAGATCGGACTAAAAGATATTAGAACTGATGAGTTCAGTTGATTGTTATAAGGTAAATGTGCAAAAATCAATAGGTTTTTTAACATATCACCAACAGTAAAGGTATAGTGGAAAATTGCAACCAAAATGATAGAATACCTTGGAATAAATTTAACCAGGAATGTACAAGATATATAAGGAAAGAATATAAAGACATTAAAAATATACCATGATTTTAGAAGAGGTGTTTCAATATTGTGAAGACGTTATTTATCTTGAAATTAATTTGTAACTTTTATGTAAGACCAGTGAAAATCTCAAAAAATGAGACTTTTTTTCTCTTTGGAACTTGACTGATTAAAATAATCAAACTTTAAAAACATAAAGTTTGTGTTGAAAAATAAACGTGAGAATAGCTAAGCAACCTTTGCTAAAGTATAGAGCATGACTTTTGCCATCTGTATTTTAAAATATACTGTTGCAGGACTAAACAGATCAATAAAACAGTAGAGCAGGTGGTTCCAAAATGCCAGCCCATTGAGTTGGCCTATTAAAATCACCTGGAGGAGCTTTATATCTCCTGATTTCATAGTTTGGGGTGCGTTGTAGGATTTGTATATCACAGGATTCCCAGCACCTCCTGATGTGCAGCTGTGCTTGGAACCTCTAACATAGACTGTCTGTTACAAGAACCGGAAACAAAAGGACGCATGGATTGTGAATTGAACTGAAAGGATCCTTGGGATAAATGGATTTCTTTAAGAGTTGGAAGGAAAACTTTTTGGGAGGGGGAGGAGGCATGTAGGTGTATGCCATTGTGGTGAGGGTTATTACTGCTGGGACAGATACTGAAGTCATTGTAACCTCCCTGGTTCATGGGACGTGGTGGTGGGATGATGTAGGACCAAGAGTCACTGCCCAGATGGCAGGGTCTCAGGAGACTGGCGTACATTGGCATCATAGAAGGGCCATGAGTTCCTACATTGGCCAGGCCTCTCTGCACTGGACCTCTCTTCTAATCCCCTCCCTTTCCTGCACAGTAAAATCCCACGTCCCAGATGGGGAGGGATTTCTAAAGAGTGGTGGTCGAGGTGAGTCTCCAAATGTGACTCACCTCACCCTCAGATTGCTGTTTGTCTTCGGGGCTCTCATCAGTTATGATGGGAGCCCTGGGCTGGCCTCCATGTGTTATAAATGGAGCTGCATGGAGATTGGTGTGAGGTTTGGGGTCCAGCCTCAGCAGACCAGGTGAACACCATGAAATAAATCCCACCTAGAAGATACAGGGATGATGCGGAATCCCAACAATTGAGTCCTAGCCTAACTTCAAAAGGAATGGGTGAACATTGTGATGCAGAAGGTTGGCAGTGTTGAGCGTGAGCCACGTTTATTGCAAAGACATGTAAGATATTGACTGTTACGGAACTGCCACCCAGTGAACTGCATGAGGAGGCCCAGGCCAGTCTGTGAGGTGAGTGTGCCATGCTCACTGACTTGAAGCCATCTTCACATCCAAGGGACCAGGTGGAGCAGGGCCCCTAGAGCAGGGGGCTCTCTCCATGGAGGTGGCCCTCTGCCCTATACCGCGGTGGACATTCCCACGTGAGGGCCGGTTTCCCCCGTTCTCTCCTCCATGGACTTTCCCCCAGATTTTTTCTTTTCAGAAGTCTGCTTTTTGCACGTGCTTTGTAATATAAAATAGGAAGAGTATAGACTGTAGCTGGCATAACAAAGATTGAATTTTTTATGCTAGTTGTCTTCTGTTCACCAGTTGATTTTTATTTTTTAAATTTATTTTTATTTTTAATTTTTTTCTTCACTTCTTGGTATTTAAAGCAGTGTTATAGTGTGTCCCGGTGTTGTTATATATACTTTACCATTAAAAGTAAAATTCACTTTACACCTTCACCATGGTTGTTTATTTTCAGTGAGGCACAACTGGAAGAACATGACAGAAGCGATTCAGAACCACATCGGCTCTCTAAATTGGGTCTACAGGTTGTCTTTGAGGGAAAAGGCTGTGACCTATGTCAATTCCTATGGAGAATTTGTTGAACATTATAAAATAAAGGTACTGTTTGAATTTCTCGTCTTTTTTATTGCCCTTCCTTATGATTGCTTATACTTGCCTTGAACTAAATTCCATGTTTCACATCAACGAAGGTAGTTAGTGCGTGTACACACACACACACGCACATGTGCACACACGCCCACATGTGCACACACGCCCACATGTGCATGCGCACACGTGCACACATGTGTACACACACATGCACACACATACACGTGCACATAGCCATTTTCCCCTATTGTTGATTCCATGTGTCGGGCTAAGTTGCAAACATTGAATTTTAAAGAATTCCTAAAGTTATTATCTGCCTTTGGCTTCATTGCCATCTTCAAAGAGAAAATGTTCAGACTAAACAGTTGAAAGATCAAAAGACAAAAAAGTCCAAAATTTTAGCAGTGGAATCCTTTTTTAAAACGAAACCTTAACTAGAACTCCAATAAATATTGTTCGTAAAAGCATTGATGAAAGTAGTGTCATAATTAATGTATTTTATAAGTTTATATTTATAATGTTTATAATTATGAGATCAAATACATAAGGAAAATGAGATAATTTTGATGAGCAAAAACATTTAAAATTAAGTTATGAAAGACAATCAAATACCCTCAGCATCTAGTTTTTCTACTTTGCTTTGGTAGCACAGTGTAAGACAATCCTGACAAGATTTTAGATTATTTTGTAGTCAGTGGTTGTCTCAACTTAGAAAGATATGAGGTGGTCCACTTAAAGCCACCCCATTAAACCCTTACGTGGGCCAGTTTGAATTACATTATCCACATGCCACACAGTGGAATTATAAGTTGGTTTTATTTCTTGAACTGTAATATGCCTGGCACAGATGGTTGAGTAAGCCAGTCACGCCCCAGCCAGACCTGCCTCTTCTGTGGTGCCTCCTTTAGAGATGTCAGTGTCCCCTGTGGCTCAAGCTAGACCTTCAGGTCCCCCTTTCATCCTGAGCCTGCGCTTGCTTGTCTGTTTCAGGACTGGCCCAAGCAGTCTGGCCCCTGTCCCCGGGCTGTCCACCCTCCATCCCAATGATGGTGCCAACCCACTTGTTCTAACACCTTTGCTGGTTTTGAATTTTTTAAATGAAAATGTATTTATGAATTACTTGTTTAATTAAAAATAATGAACAATCTCTGTTGGTCCCCATAGCCTAAATGTTAGAATGGCATGTAAAAGCCTTCACTTTTGGCTCTGATCTGTTTCATGTCACCACTGACACAGCCCTGCTTTCTAGTCACGTCTGGCCACTTGCTGTGCCCCAGACACCAGCTCCTTCCAGGCCTGTGTGCTTTTGTTTGTCCTGTTCTCTTTCCAGGTCTCCCTTCCCCTCAAATCATTTCAGTTTTCTCATCTCCACTTGAAAATCTCCACTCTGTCTTTGAAGCCATCCTTGACTGGCTCTCTAACCCGCTACCTCACCCCCACTGTGGTGCTTTGAGTAATAGTTTGCAAAGACTTCTGTTTTCCGTGCTGGCACTTAACACAATCATTGTTATTTTTTGCATGTCTGTTGTTATGTTGAGTGAGATGCTCAATAAGGGTGATGACTGCTTTATCCAGAGTGTCTGATACTCTGTAGTATTTGCTAAATAAGTGAAGTTTACTTTTCTTTTTCCAAGGCAACCAATAGAAAAGGACAGGAAACTTGTTATACTGGGGCAAAATTCGTCATAGCAACAGGTCAAAGGCCACGGTATTTAGGAATCGAAGGAGATAAAGAATACTGTATTACTAGGTAAGAGGAAATAGTCCATTTTAACTTCAATAAATTGCATTATATGTTTCCAATTTATTTATTCCCTGTCTTATTCCACAAAGGATTTGAAGTGATGAAATAAAAGTATGTGCAATGCAAAAAACTAAGTAATGAGACAAAGAGAAAATAAAGTTAGGTAAATAATAAGGTCAGTGGTAAAATTTATGCACGAAAATATGCTATATGTTTCTAGATGATTGCTGGAGGTGGTCTGGGAATTTGGTTGTAAATTTCCTGTAGGCCAAAGCAAAGAAGTAAGTACATTGAGCTCAAGTGTCTCTCTGATCAGAACGAGCCAGCTGGTCAGGAGCAGCACAACTCTTCTCAACACTGAGAAATGAGAGGAAATTCCTGGATGGTCAAAACGAGGACACTGTATAATGTCGCACAATGACTCGCTAACTTTTGAGCAGACTCACATTAAGAAATCCATTTTCATTCTGTTGTTCAGGTGAACATCCAGCCACGCACACATCTCCAAATCAACACTTTTTCTTATTATTACGTATAATGTAGTCTGATATTTCCTGTTCTGTTTTATTTTTAAGAAACTTTTGCTTGTGATCTAATTTGATTTTGAAAACATGGAGGTACACACCTCTCACTCTCTGCAGTGGACCCAGTGACAGGCTTCAGGAGGCAGCTGCTTCCAGTTCACTCAAGCGCCGAATTGCAGTTCAGCCAGCAAAACCTGAGTCACTCATTTCATTTTCAGTGCCTAGTACTATTATTTTTCTCTTTCAGCGATGACCTTTTTTCTCTGCCTTATTGCCCTGGCAAAACGTTGGTAGTGGGTGCCTCTTATGTTGCTCTGGAATGTGCAGGATTTCTTGGTGGCCTTGGCTTAGATGTCACGGTTATGGTGCGCTCCATCCTTCTTCGTGGCTTTGATCAAGAAATGGCAGAGAAAGTGGGTTCCTACATGGAACAGTGTGGTGTTAAGTTCTTAAGAAAGTTTATACCCGTGGTGGTAAGTCTGACGACATTTAGAATTCCTTTTGTTTTCTTTCTCACTCTCTTCTGTGCTCAAATAGTGTTAAATGTAGTGTTCTCACCCCCAAATCTACAAGACTGACCCCATTTGTCCCCTCATCCCCTCCTTTGATAATGGACGAGGTGTCCTTGCTCTTCCCAGAGGCGGGGTCCCTGCCTCTCTCACTTTTTCTCACCTTCTCAAACGAGCCCCTGCCCTCCCTGCCTGCCTGGCTGCCTGGGTCCCCGGTTTTCTTCTCCCTTCATGAGAGAACTTCTTCACATGCTGCTCCTGATTTCTAGCCTCTGTCCCACACGTAGTTGACTCTCAGCTGCTTTTGTCTCCACCATTTCTTTAAAACTGCTGTCGTGTTTTTAGCAAACTCCCTGTTGTCAGATCCAGTGGTCGCGTCCCTGTCCTGATCTTCCTGAGCTGCTCTGCGGCATGTGGTAAAACCACGCTGCTTCCATTTGAAGCACCCCCTTTCTGACTTCTGTGGCCTCTCTGTCCATGGTTCTTCTCATCCACAGCCACCCAGCCTTTAAACATCAGTGCAGGTTTCCATCCTGGCCCCCTCTTCACCGCTCTGCACTTTTACCTGGACGATCTTCTTTAGGGCCATGGTTTTAAGTATTATCTAGAAGTTAATAATGACTCTCAGATTTCCATCTCCTGTTCAAGCATCTCTCCTGAACTCCACACTCATTTATTTATACAACTGCCTACCGGATATTGCCACTTGAATCTCTCATAAGCATTTCAAATTTAACAAGACAAAAGTGGAAACTCTAGATTTTTACCTAAGTGTATTCCCCTGCCAGTCTTTCTTGCCCATCAAAGTACTCAGTAAATGGTACCATAGTCTACACAGTTTATTAAATGTACATCTAAGACACATCCCTTCAGTTCCCCTTTTATACTACCTCTAATCTCAGCTAATCCATTAATTCATTTCTACTTCCAAGATGTATCTTGTAAGGACCT